ACACACACACACACACACACACACACACACACACACACACACACACATACACACACACACACACATTCACACACACACACACACACACATTCACACACACACACACACACACACACACATTCACACACATGCCTGGAATAGCATTAGAATTACCTAACCTGATTTCACTATATTTCGCTTGATTTTTCTTTATTTACTGATTTTATTACTAATATCAAAGAAAGTACATATATATGTTCGTATTTAGATAAATAGTATGTTAGATTTAAATTGATACATAATAGCCCTGTCCTCGATACTATTATCCCGCATGCCATCTAAGGGAGAAGGGGGTGCCTGAAAACCAGCGCTGCAACTGTCATCAACAGGCGCAGCACCAGCTGAGACACCTCCTTTTGCCTCCTGTTTATTACGTCATTTAATATAAGTTTATTTGTCATTTAAGTTTTATTTATTATCGTTTTTTTTGTACAAGTTCTGTTTACATTGGAGGCAATAAAGAGATTTATTATTATTATTAAACAACAATTTAACGAAATACCTTTGGTATCTCTAGATGAGGCTTCGAAGACTGATCTCTTTAACGTTACACTTGACTCTTTAATGACAGGGTGGTGTGATAACTATGAAATGCCCAGTATCATGGTGTGTGGATCATCATGTGCATCATCATTAATTTCGATGTTAGCGTGATAACCGCCTATTTTACTTAATGACATTTTTTTTACTGTCTCAAAATTAGTTAGTACTGTTTGCCAGACAACCGCACCCCTTCCACCTGGTCTCAAAATAGGGAATTCTCTGTACTATGAGTAGGGGAGAACGGGACTGAACGTTCCGATTTTCAAATAAGTTGAAGTTTTATTCTGAAAATGAAGGACTTGATTTTCAACACGTGGAAATATTGAACAAATGTTTATCGCTTTTTGTAATAGTATAGTCACTTCTACTAATATATCAGTAGTCTTTTTCATAGAGGCAAATTTTAGTCAAATTTCGGAGCGGAACATTCAGCCCCGCTTTGGAGCGCATTATTCCGCCTTTGAGGCAAATTGTTCCGCCTAAATTATGACATGATAATAAGGATTTTTTAAAACCACCTTTTTATAATTGTATGTATAATAATAAATAAATAACGCACACACTCAACATAGCCCCGCACTAGGGAAACCCTGTGTCGCGGGTGCCATGGACATACACATAGATAACCACAAATTACACCCAAACTCACGAGAGAAATAAATGTAAGC